AATATTCCAAGTTCAGTTGATCACCGTTAAAACACCAACACATGATTCCATACCAAAAATCAATTAACAGACAACCATCGTTTTTTCTTCATCGTTAAATAGAACATTATCATCATGTAAATCAGCATGAATACAACCTTTGGGCAAGTTCTGTTCGAGTTTTTCCATATATGAAATTTGTGTCTCTTTAACATTCGTTAACGGTATTGTAGATGTATGTTTCTCAATCAAGATTTCAATTCTTCTATAAAGCTCATACTGTTTACGTTTGAATTGTTCATAATTTGTTAATAATTCATATTTAACTCGAACAAAATTTTGATGAATTCGATATGCATAGGATTTTAATTTCCAGCCTTTTTCAGTATTCAATGTTAATGAATGCATTTTACCTAGGAATTGAGCAACTGATATAGTTTGCCATAGTTGTCGTTGTGCACTAAGGTTTGTATTTTCATTATCAGAATTGATTGGTCTAATTATCTTCGATACCGGTAAGTTATTTTGATGCAAATAATTCATAAATTCGAGTTCAAAAGAAATGCTTTCACCAGTTCGAATTCGTTCACCATGTTCTAGATACTGCCCTAGGATATAACTTCCGGTTTCATTCGTAATTTTATGAGTTGTATTAACCCAACCATCGATGATTGTTTCGACAGGCAAAATACGATTACCGATGTCGAAAATTGACATCTGAAAAATAAATACTTTGAGAGTGTGGGTGAATGAATGTAACTATTAGATTCTACTAGCATACTTATTCATAAAATCCGATCAAAGAGTAGTAACTGAGCCGAACCCAGGCACAAAAAAACATGAAAATATTATCAAGTAAAAAGTACAGTTGTAGAAAATGATTCGCTTTTTAAGATCTATCATCGCTGCAGTTTATCATTATTAGAAAGATTTATTTTATGAGAAATTAGGAAAGATATTTTTCAATTCATTCAAACGGTTCCGAATATATTTTCTCCCTTATCATAAATTTATAAGATTCATTAATTGGAAACAAATGTTATATAATATATAATGTGCTGATAAGTATAAATACATACCTGTACTTTGAATTCTAAATTTCAAGATGCACCATATCTATTTAAGTAAGAATGCTGAATGACAGAAACATTTCTTCATATTGATTTATATGCAATTCACAAAAGACAGCCGAATATTGGCTTGAAAATACTACTTTTCGACCTTTGAATATTATCGAGAGAATACAAGTTACTCTTTATGTTACGCTGTTATCGATTTTTGTAAATGTAAAACCCAATATCATAGCCAAAACTAGAATAGCTTGTATACTTACAGTTCCTTTGGTCTTTTGAGAATAAAAAAATCTAGAAGAAAGAAAAATAGTATCACTGCATAGTTTATCTATTTAAGACCTTCCTGGGATAAAACTAGTGTTTTTGTTAATACAACAATTTGACTATTGGTATATGTGCTTTATATTATTCGATATAACTTCGTAAAATATTATTCATCGTACAAAGAGAGATAGTTACAATGCACAAACGACTTGTTAAAATGATAAGAACAAGGAAAAAAAGTAATGAAATATGATACATCAGCAACAAGCAGCAAACAATATTTATGTGTTTCAATGTCGTAACATATCTCAAAGTTTCGATGTGCACTAAGAACATTCGAATTTTTGTCGACTATTTTTACACACAATCAGATTTTCAGACATATCAGGTTGCTCTTTGCAAGACTCATTTGTTAACGATAGCGAACTACAATTTTCTTCTTCAAACTGTACAAAAGGCAATATATAGCAACTGTGATTCACAACGCTAGTTTACTGAGATATCATAGATTTTTTTGCAGATTATCAAATATCTCCAAATAAAAGCATCTTGGGCAATATCTTACCATGATGAAATATTTGAGGAGCTCTGACAAATAATTTTCCCACCGTTTCGACTTTGATACCAACAATGGTGTCAGAAATTGAGAAAAATTATACCTTTTTCATCATTTCTTTTTACATTTATAAGTAGAGGCATCATGAATCAGTTAGATCGTCATAGTAGCATGGCATATTAGAATTCCCAGCAATGACGTATCAATGTTTTTCGTTGATTCAAACAACGTTAACGTCACCGATGAGAAAGAAAAGAAGGACGTGCACATAGTAGTTGTGACGTCTTTGATTTGTTGGTTCAAAGCATTCTTAGTAAATTGGTGGAAACGATAGATTCCATTAGTAATAATGAAATAAACACAAACAACGTTATACAATAGAATAGTAACCATTGCAATTATGCAAAATTTGAAAGTGGGTGACACATATATGCGTCATCGGTACTGAACTTGATAGGTGTGGATGTATCTTACTCATTCCACACCTACACGCAAACCCATATCCACAACCCTTCAATATTAAATAATAATTATTATTTTATTCATATTTATTTTTCCCTGATGACGAATAATTGTTTCTACACAAACATAAAAATAGCAGATAGCTAAACTTCTACTTCTAAACTTGTCTATTTTGGTGTTATTTCAGCATTTCAGTTATTAGCTTCATGCCAAAAATAATCTGATAATACCTGACAAATTCTTCTGTATCCCTGACGTGTTCGTGCCAACTGATGCGAACCAGGCTGGAAATCTGAATGCAGCTTTTTCAAATGATCGACACCAAATAGTAATAATCTATGATTGAGTTCTTCAAATGTAATTATTTCAAAAAAAGAGTGCCTGTATCTATGTATATAACGATTTAACCACCGAGTACAATTTTCTAATTCATTAGAATAGCAAAGAACTTTTATTTCCTGGAGATTATATGGCATATCATTAATCAATGGAAACCAGTGCTGTATATTTCTATAATACGCAAATAGTGTGATCATTTTTTGAAGATTTGTATCAACATGATTTCTGCACTGTACTATGTCATTAAAAACGTGAACAAAAGACATTAGATCAGCATCAGCTAATGGGATGACTGCAGCAACACCCGGATGTTGATAAAGCAGAAGAGTCCAATAACTCGCAGCTGGATATATGTTGAATTCGAATGTAATATTGTCGATAGTTTGCATCTGAAATAAAGCAGGAGTAAAAAATTATTCATATTTGCAAAACAGAACAAATTAGATTTAAATATTTCAATATTTATAAAGAATAATACAAAGCTCAAAAAGCATCGAAATTAGAGTTAAATATAATTTATTGGAATCAAAAATATTATTTCTGTACATCTTTATTTAAATATAATTATAGTGAGAAGTAAAAAATGAAAAATTAAAATGAAAATGGCTGAAGAGGTTTTTTATTTTAGTGTTACTCATTTGTTATTTGAGTCAGACAAATCTTGTTATGCATCAGTGGATGTTGTAATGATGATGCTATTCTTAAGCACTGAATTGTATGCTTTATCCAATTCTTCATGCATTTTATTAGATATGTTTCTTTTAATTTCTGCTGCTTTTACGTCACCCGAAATTGAACATTGTTCCGCTTCTTGTTGATAACATCGATATATTTCGTCAGCTAATTGATAAATGAGATCGTCACCACTACCAAATCGGTGCTGATAATCGACTTTACTGATGTCATCTTCCAGGACAAAAATTGCTTTCGTATGTTCCAGTGCTCTTTCCATTGTAACATCAAACTCGCTACTGACAAAAAGAAATGTAGTTTTCTTATCGAGCTCATCGAAATCAACTGTTGAAACATCGTCAATAATGAGTATGCTGATTCCTGTCAGCGCCTTCAAAGATTGTAACATAGCAGAAGCTGGTGCATCTAAGCGTTTACTTATATTGATAACGGCAAACTGAAATTCGCTTAAACCATCTTAAAAAAATAGTAATATCCGCATGATTTATGTAATATATATATATACATACCTTCTTGATTTTCTTTTCTCGTTGTCTTTGTGTATTTTTTATGAGGTGATTCAGCGTGACTAGAGTATAGTTCTTCAAACAGGTCCAGCGGATTGAAGATCTTCTGATATTTATTCTTTACCAAATCCATCGATAGTTTTTTTATTAGCTCATTTGCATCAGACATGACGCCGCGCACTTTCGGATAGCAAGCAGTCCACTTGGTGTGAATTTTGCGATCTGTACAATACACATAAATAGCACTGATCCATGGTAAATCATGAATTTTGGGCATAATCTGCTTGCCAAATTTGTTGGAGATAATGAGGGAAACTCTTTTAGTACCATGATATGAAACTATCCATTGTTCACATTCATCAAAATCGTCGGTTGAGAGAGCACATGGTATGCTTTGTTCTAAGCTTCGTATGGCTGTTTCTAATTCCTTGCGTCGTTCAATATTAGGAACGCAACAGATAAATAAAAACTTCTCCGAAGAGTCTCTTTTTTTCTTCTCTGGTATGAAAGATTCATCAGGTAATCCCCATAGGCTTGATAAATAGGAGTTATCAGTTGTCTGCGCTTCTTGCTTCACAGATACGCCGCCGTACATTGATAATGTGTAATTTAGGGCGTAAAAGTCGTTTTTTCAGCTATGTTAAAAGAGAAACGGAGATGGTTCTAAAAAAAGATAAACTTTTGTGAAACACGATATGAGAGGAATGCTGCAGGGTGTGAGTGTAGTGTGGATATACTTGCGGGTGTGGATGTGAGTGAGGGTGTGGGTATGAAGATATAGAACTATCGAAACACTGGCCCTTTATCATAGATAGTATATATGACATACATTTTTTGGAGCCTTGGTATCTCGGAGAGACTTTGCTCAAAACTTCTGAAATTTTTTATGAAAGCTAGTTAACTGAGGTATTCATGTGAGCAAAGTTTCAAAGCAAAATTCAAAAGTATAGTTTTAATGTAAAAGTAGGGTGCTATAGCAAGAATTCACTAAAAACTTGATATCTCATCAGAAACACGCCATGGACACGAACTCTTTCACCATTTTCTTAGTCTCACTGAGTCCCACTTGTAGCCAAAATATGGGCTCGAATGGCGTCCGACAGTTGGATATGTTTCCTTGTAAGAGCGTCTACATGCCACTCAATTATTCACTGATTCAGTTGTTCGAGTATTTCACTTTTCACGTATTTAACGAAGTATTCAAGTATTTATCTGTTTAACAGTTCTGTTACCATTTCACTCAACGGAGACTTTAACCGTCGAAGTATTCGATTATCTAATTTTCTGTTGATGACATTTGCAAAGTTTCAGTGTGATTATTAGAATATGAAACTAGTATAATAGTCTGAAAAGTTTCAGTTATGGTTATTTATTATGATTATGAGATTATTACTGTCACGGTTGCGTTACGAGATGTAGTCAAGAGGTTATGGTCTTCACACTATTTCTTGCGCTAAATTTTAAACTCCAGCAAGGTATTTAGTGTGGTGAAGTAGATTATTTCATTTTTACTGACGCTAAGGTATATGAAGATGAGACTGTCTTGCTCACCCTTACTACCACGGCTATTTGAAAACTACTGAATCCATAAGTACTGGAATTCATCTTTGATCTTTACGTCCATCGACCGAAAAGCAAAAAGATAACATCACGCTTACTACTTACTATTGAATTATGAAATGACTTCGTTTTCTGCGTGCGCGATTGACAATAATTTTTTCTGAGCAAGAAAATGTAACAATCAGAGCAAAAAATATCCTTTCCAAGATTGAGAATCTAAGAATGATGATAGACAAATTTTTCTCGGGAAAGAGCCAGACGATGAGAATAAACAGGCGTTCTTTCTGGAAGGAGAATGTAGAAATGACTACAAAAAAATCTTTTAACAAGGAGAATATAACAATAACGATGGACAGGTTTTTTCCGTGAAAGTGTTTGATGACGAGAATAAATAAGCGTTTTTTCTGGAAGGAGAATGCAGAAATGATTACAAAAAAATTCTTCCAACAAGCAGAATATAATTATGACGGCGGACTAGCTTTTCTCGGGAAAAGAGTCTGAGAATGAGCATAAATACGTGTTTCTTTTGCAAGAAGAATGCAGAAATGACTACAAAAAAAATCTTTTAACAGGGAGAATATAACAATAACGATGGACAGGTTTTTTCCGAGAAAAAACTGCAACAATACAAACAAAAAACAATTTTTTCTGGAGATAGAATGTAGGAATGAGAGTAAGTTGTGTTTTCAGAAGATGTTTGCATATTTTGCCCACTTCCTGCAACCAAAAACATCAGGAATCCTTGCAGGATCTTTGTCAAATTCTCAAGGATATAAAACGGAGATAACAACGGGGTGTTATAGGAAATGCGACGTAAATTGATTAGGCTCTTCACGTTGTACACATTTTGACACTGCCACTAAAAGCTAGATAGAAAAGAATTCAATTTCAAGCACAACTTACGTGATTTTTTGTATTACGATAGCTAGAATGTTCATGCAGATTCTTTCAGCTTACAAGAAATTAAAGATTTGAGATTGGTTCGATCATTTTTTTATGTCAGGTGAATCACTTTTTTTTCGCATGTATATTCGCTCCTTCTTATAATTCTTGTGGGTGTGAGTGCGGGTTTCAATATCAAGCTACACACACACCCCGCTTCCCATCTACTAGGACTTCTGCATAGACGTGGTCGTTGAGCAATAGCAACACTAGCAAGACACAATACAATAAATGATAACATATGTATCGGTGATTCAGTATGTAACTAACAAACTGACAGCTCACATGTTTTTTCACCGTCCGTGGAGGTCTGCTTAGAGTTGAGAGATAAGGTTACACACCAATCGTATTCGTAGTCTCAGGACAAAAGCAAGAATAATATTTTTGTTATCAAATATATGCAGAACTTCACTTTTATTTGGCACAATTCTCTGTATGTAAAAATACTGTTTTTAACCATAATATGATCTTAAACAATCGTTTACATGACATCTCAGAAATTACCTATTGCCTGTGGTAAATAAGATACGCTCTTTGATGAAATATTCTTTGATTAAAATAAATAAACTTAATAAAGAACTCAAATAGTTTGTCGTCATCCTTAATAACAATGCGAAAAGGTAAGACGAGTCAGCAATAAATATCATGAATGTTGGCATAATCATAGCACGTTTACTAAGATAAAATATTAGTTAGAGAGGTATATTAGCGTTCATAGTTACAAACATATCAATAACAATTCTGATTGAAGTGGGGCAAACAAAAAACAGCAAAATTTCATTTTTTCGCTGAGATAGCTTTTATCATTATTATAAAAAGGAATAATATCACCAATAAACTTATTTTTTTAGAGCACAAAAATTATTACAAGCTTCACCATAATCATATTTGAGATCAGCACGAGAAATGCCACGATAATGATGCTATAAAAATCATGACTATTATGGAAGCCACTTATCAAAGTTCTTTAAATCAAACAAATATAAGCGATATTACACATAAGCAAAAACTTGTAATTCTTAATTCTGAGAATATGTAATACGCATTTTATCTATGTTGATATGAGAATTGATGATGGTTTAATAAACATTTATTTCATAACTTAAAAAACTTGAAATGCAGAATTAATAAAAATTCTTCCGTGATTTTGTTCTCGTATACATAAATGAAATTCTATATGTTCACAAGTATTACCTTCTCCATCGTATTGACATGTATATGTTGAATTCGCTTTATATAATCCAGCACCACCAAAAGCTGAGCGTACTTCAATTAAACCATATTCAAGCGGAATACGTTTTTGATGAACACGAACAATTAGATTCACAAGTGTTTCATAACAATAGTTTTTACCAGGTTTTCTTAAATCCCATATTCGATGCCATATATCATAATTCATAATTGAATCAGATAATGTACGTAATGCCCAAATATCATAATATGGATCGCTTGACGATGCTGTCATTACTGACCAATCGTCTATATTATATCGGAAATTAGAAAGAAAAGAAGGAACTGTAGTACGAAACATATCTATATCGGTAACTAAGATATAATCAGCTTTCAGATCGTGTGTTTTGTTAATCAGTGTATTGCGACAAAATTCAAGACGATCAGTACGTCCTGGATACGATTTCATCATATTACCATATGTATAAACTTGTGCACGAGACCATTGATAAAGTTTTTCTATAGTTTTATCATTTGAATCACTTTCGCAAATAAGAATACGAGATGATGAATGAAAGAGATCAAGAATTGGTTCAATACGAGATCGATACTTTTTAATATCTGATTCAACATTACGAGCACATGCTACGACAATTAAACGAAGAGAACGAAGTTGATGTAGAACATTATGATACGATGAATTTGATAATCGTCGAGGTAAATTCGTTTGAGGATATTCACGTTCATAAAAAGATCGATTATCTGATACTGTGAACGGAAGACAAGGAGTTGTACGAACCCTGGATGAGTGACGAGTAGTATTTACTAAAGACGTAGCTATATGAACCGTGGATAAGTGACGAGTAGTATTTACTGCAGACGTAGCTATATGAACCGTGGATAAGTGACGAGTAGTATTTACTGCAGACGTAGCTATATGAACCATGGATAAGTGACGAGTAGTATTTACTGCAGACGTAGCTATATGAACCGTGGATAAGTGACGAGTAGTATTTACTGCAAACGTAGCTATAAGATAAATGTTCTTCAACGAAGACGTAGTGATCATTCCATTTGCTGTTGCCGATGGTGGAATGTTAGTTGGAGATGTGTTGACAAGAAAGAAGACAGCAGCAGTGAAACAACTGACAAGTGGGAAAAACAATAAGTATTTTACCTTGAAACGTTTAAATTGGCGATGTACAAACATTTTCTACATTTACATATCAAAAATAGATGAAATATAATAGCAATACCATTAGTTGAACATACTTTATAGTACCAAATGGTAGGTGTGGGTGTGGATATGGACGATGATGCGGATCTTCTTTAATCTTTACACCCGCACTCTTCAGATATTATATTTCACTATCGTTTTTGAGTCGAAATGTTACTTCAACCAACCGTCATGTTAGTATCTTAAAAAGTAACCCGAATAATTGATATGAAAACAAAATAAACTGAATTTCATTTTGAAGTACTTGCTAGTTCTCAGTGATTGTATCTGGTCTTTTTTATGTTACACGACGAAAATTTTTCTCATTTTGATTTATCATATATTTATTAACAATATTTATATACCTATGAGAAAAGAAACGGAAATAAAGCTGTAGTAAAGTCTTCGACAGAATCTTTAAGAATGACAAGAAAAAATATGCATAACCGTATTTTTCATCATTACAATAAGCTGTGATATTTAAAGATATCAAGTAATATAATTTCACTTACTGTTAAATAATACCGAATGATAATTATAGCTGAAAAAGAATGAATAAATAAAATATCAGTAAACACACTTTTTTATATTTCTTTTATTGTAGTGATCATTGATGCGTCAGTCGTCGTTTTTTTACCTTGATAGAACAATTACCGATCAGCGCACGTTTTTATCTTTTCTTGCTTGCAATCATTATTAATACATACAGTTTTCATTTGACCGAACGAAAAAATCAACACGTAGTTAAGTAGAAGTAACTTCACGTAAGGCAATTATTGGTTGTTTATCTAACGAATATTTTTTGTGATAGTATATAATACCGACAGAAGAACCAAAAATTCAGCAGCACAATTCTCGTAGGAAAATGCATTTCGATAAACAGCTAGAAAATTTGAGTGCGAACTCTGGATGAATGCTCTACTCTTTTCAAACATCCTCACTTCAATAAAAATCTAACGTCGTTTACTTCAGAAAGCAAAACAATTCATATTAGAATATATGAATGCATCGAATGAATTATCTGAAAGTGTAGACTAGATTATACTGGTGATTGAACATCGATTAAATCGTTTCTTGGACGAAATTAAAGCATTTATGCACATGTATGTTAAATCCACTAACGGATATTTTTTGAAAAATTGGAACAAGTTAGAAATATAAATACAATATATACTGAAGCTATATATGAATTAAGAAAAAATATTATCGATAAATTTAGACAAGAATTAGAATTAGCAAAATTAGTAGTTCCATTGAATACAAGTAATATTCATATATGAAAGTTTGAATTTTCTGTTAAATATTTACCCGAAACAATAAGAAATATTCTTGAAGTCGAATTAAAACATTGTAGAGAAGATATTACTTTAGAAATTCAAAATATTAATAATTAACTTTCGAATTTAATGATATAGATCAATTTGTTCTTTTACTAATCTAGTTATTCAGTTAAAAAGTACCTACCATCAAATATTAGTAGAGTTAATTTGTTGTTCTGTTCTGTTTCGTCTTGTAGTCCCTCTCTCTCTTTCTAGCTTTGACATTTATTTTATATGATACTGTGTGTTCTTCTTTATTCTATTGATTGTTTATATCGAGATGTTTGTATAAAATGAAATTCTAGAGGGTGTGGTTGTGGGTGTTTCTTCTCTTAGCTCACACCCACACCCACCCCACCCTCAAGAATTTTTGACAACATTAAAAATTTTTATTTATGTAAGCACAATTAAAGCATAGATATTTGTGATTAAAAATGAATTTATCGCTAGCAAAAGCAATATATACAGATATCACAAGTTTAAGCGTGATAATTAAATAGAAATGAGAATACTCTTAATTTAAAAAAACAAACAATCAAAGCTTTTAAGTTAATAAATGAACGACATGTTTTTGTTGAAATAATACAAAGAAAATTTGATAAATATAATCATTGCGTTGGTTCGATACGAAAGCGACGTTTGATCTTTTGAAATATTTTCACAAGATAAGGAACAACGAATCGAATTCCAAAAGACAAACCAGCAAATACACTCAAAAATGTAGTTAACATTTTAGGTGCATCGAATCGAGAACGGTATGTGTAGACACAATAATTTGGAGAACAACTTTCGTAAAAATTTTCATAAGATACATTACTTGTCCATGATTCGATAAACATTTGATATGCCATTGTCTCGATTGTATCATGGACATTGAATCGTGTCAACGAATCGTTTAATTGTTGTGAAGTAGGAGGACGTGCACCTAGTAAATTTCGAACATTAATAATGCAAGTTTCAGAATAGAAACAAGACAATGATGAAAGTAATACTGTTTCTAATAAATAACAACCAAATACCATGCCATCAATGATCATCGTTTCATTAGAACTAGATAAATGTGCTGGTACTGTGCAAGTTTGTAAAGTAGCACAAGAACAACTTGTATTTTGTTCTGTATTGTTATGAATGATAGGTATAGTAACAAATGAACTATTTCTTTCTGTGTCTATTCCAGCTCTGCTTAAATTCCAATTCGATGAAAACATTGCTAATAGAGCATTTCCTTGTGTAGTCATACGAATAAGATCTAATGTTTGAGTAAAACTGATTGGTATTCTTTTTTGAAATTGATTTATAGTATCATTTATTTCGTTCTCGAATCGTTCACGAGACTCTAATTGATTGATTAGCATAGTCGAAGAGAGAAAAACATTAGTACTATTATTAACACTTTCTTGTGCCAATGAACAAAGAAACTGTAAAAAATCAATAAAGATGAACTTCCATACTTTAAAATTATTCACATTATGGAGTTCGTAATCATTTATATCCTGCAGTCCTATACAGATATATAACAAATTTGTCAAATGTTTACAAATTTTTATAAAATATTTTTAATATATTCTACTTGAACTTCGATTTGTCAAAATAGTTCATTCTATGAAAACGATATTTTAACTAGTCTTTTGTGTGCTCTTTACTTATTATATTAAATCTTGTACTACTCAGTCAAAACGATTAAATAGAAAATAATAACTTGTACTATGCTGTAAATGAAGTTTTCTTTTCAATTCAATGTTCTCCTCTATATTAATCGATAAATTCCTGATATTTTCTAATAGTTGATATGAAAATAATTCTTTTAAATCATATTACCATATCGCAAAATTTTATGAATTGCATCTGTTGTACATGCTTCATGAAATGCATTGACTTGTAATTCATTGATAAAGTTACCATAAGGAATTGATATATGTGTGCAAGGACAAGTAATATCATCTGAAGGATGATCTATGAGAAATTCTTCATAATCCATAATCGAAGATAAGTAATATCGTTTATCGATATTAAGATTAACAAGAGCTGTATAGAAGAGTAATATACTGAGAGAACTTATATAAAGAACTAAATAGACTCGCGTATATATTTGTTGTTGACGAATTAATATCTCTTCTGTTGGTTCAGTCTTAAATAAGTTGAGAGTTTTAATTGATTGATAAGTAGTGATTAAAAGATGCTTGACATAACCACTTATTGAAATGACTAGAAAAACAAAGACATATAACACCAAATAAGTATAAAACTGATATTAGAAAAACAATTTTCATATATATAAATCTATTCTGATTATTTATGTTGATTCGATGATGTAAAAATCTTTCACAATATCTATGATATACTTACTACGTCGAGTATGACGTCTTTTCCACCAATCAATACAAGAGAAAATAAGTTTACCAAACAATGGTATAAGTATTCGAAAAATTTTGTTTAGACCACCACATATAGCAATAAGAAGAAGTAATGATGCTAGAATTCCGCGACGTTGTTTATTTGTGTATGTGCAAGATCGAGGTAAACATTCATTATAGAATTGATCAAAATGTGTATTATTACTTATTATTGTTTCTAACAACATTTCATCAATCAAATTGAGCATTCTTTCATTCTCAAATCGAGTGAGTATTGATGCATTAAGAGATTTTATATTTGGCGGTGGCTGAGACTTAATAACGATTGAATAAGTTTCTTTAATGTATTCTAGATATGTAATGTTATACCACCATGCAATCTTCGAATTTCGAAATCCAGTTAATGGTGTGCAACCGATATCTACCATTTTAAAAAAAGAAGTTATTGGAAATTTACCAAAATATGATGCATTTATATATAATAGAGGTA